CGTAGCTGCGAGGAATCAATGTCCTTATTTGTTTCATACCTTTGTACCAGTTCAGTTTAAACATTTCGCAGTGTAGTTGAGATTTTCTCTGGTGTTTCAATTGTAGAAGTTTATTGAGTCCCCTGTTTCCTTTAGAAAGCAACGGGTCACAGCGCTGCTCATCGGAGTTTCAATTGACGTCGGATCTTCTGTTGCTTTTTTTACATCTGCAGAGTATCGACATTCAACAAGGACGACTGGGGCAGCTATACGAAGTCAAGCCTTCACGAACGGTCGAAAATAGGTACTTTTTTGGTAGCCATATGTCGACTTTTTATCCCATTCGATTTTATCATAGGCATAGCTATAGTCAATGGGAGTACAGAAGGTGCACGTCAGGCGATCAGATCTGTCCCAATCCAAATCGTCGTGTCTTTGTTAATAAGAGCTCATATGTATAGACTTTACCTGTGCCCATTGACGTGAAGAAACCCGTCTCACGTCGACTGTCACTAGATACTCTCGAAAGACAATACCGCTATGAGGTTTACATGCCAATCGCAAGCCATTTGTTGGTGAGGTGTGGCCACTATCTGCATCATTATGTGTTCCTGCCTGGGCTCAAGAAATGCTTGTTAGTCCACGTAGTGTCTGTGTGACTCGCATGTGTTGGCAAATATCGCATGCGCACAAATCAAAACGTAATGTCCTGGCTAGCATGCGTGGCGAGTTCGTTGGAAGATACCAAATTTCTGAGTAGTTTTAATCTGTTTGCAATAATAGACATACCTGGGGTCTACCACAGCGACGTGGAGAGGCCGTACAATGTCTTCACTAATGGACTGGATACTATACAAAACCCGGCGTTCAAGGAGGCGCTTGAGGATAGCCTTCACTTCTTTCTCGAAGGTATATTTGTGCCACGTAGTATGCTGATATGCTGTGTATCAGTCATAGGCGCGTGTATTGTCGCCGCACATGGGATGTATTAGCGGTTGGGCATATGGCTTCCTCGCGCAATGCTGACCACCACGCCATCACAGTTTAGATACGAAGGCATCCATGCCCATCAAGTATGCTGGCATGTCGAACCTAGTGCTGAGCCGTATGTGCCCACAGTTGCGGCGATATATACACACTATGCGGTGGGTGTAGATCCTTCACCGTGCACATTTTATATGCACGACAATTCACCCCGGAACTGTTCACGCGCTTTCATTATTTACCTTTGTATACCGTCACTGTACATATCTGCTACCTTTATATACCGACACTGTATATATCTGCAACGTAATATGGTGGGATGGCCTGTAGGCGCAGTGCAAATGCAGACACGTCAAACTCGAACTCTTTTGATGATTTGCTGTTGACCAGATTTCGAATCGTCTTCGATCTTACATGCGATCAGTATCCTAGCATACAGTGTGCACACTAGCACCTCAACCATGTGCAGCAAACGTGCTGTATAGATTGCTAATGTACCGTCGGATCATAAGATCATAGCAGGGTAGGATTACTACCAAGTGATCTTCCAGTGTATTTGCTATGCCTGGCTCACATTTCTGGTATGACTTCTTATCTTACGCTGCCGCACGCCCCTCTCCTCATCCAATAGAGTGTAACAGTCTGCAGGGTTACCAAGTACTCGTAGACACAGACGACGCCTTTGGAGGCCTGTGCATCGAAGTGCTGGACCACATCGCTGACGACTTTGGTACGAAGCCAGTATTCACATACGCAACGACACCTATAGTTCTCGAGGTAAGAGGATAATCAGTGACACTGATACACTTGTGCACAGAGCATAGAGAACCTCTTGGTTTCCTCAGAGTGTGTTTGCGCCTTGTAGGGTTGAGCCGACGTGGTAGAAGTCGAACCAGTGTGCTTGTTCTACGCGTACTGTGTCGTCTGCATTTAGACCGTTAATGTTATACAACGGTACATCTCTGTGTTGGCCTCAAATGCAATGGTCGCACCTTCCAAATTGAAGCCATGAGCGTACATCTAACTTCGCCCATCGCGACGGTATCCTATCAAATCGGATGTATAAACAGGCCGATCATCCACACTTTGGTCAGTACAAAGACAAGGCGACACTCAACACGGCCCTCAGTCTAGAGCGCCTGCAAGAACGCAGCGCTGTGTACATCCCCTTGAGCCTGCGTGATACCATTGGACCAAGTGCCAGTACCAGGTCATCGTATACCACCCACAAGCACCCACATAGCGGATACAAATCTTCGTATGGAAATGGGCCGGACATGTTCCCGGTCAGTGCACCTCTGAGCCATATGGACACCACCGATAACTACCAGGGCAGTGCTGTGCTAGCTACGGCTGTGCGTAATTGCATCTACCCTCTCACAGCAGCCTCGAGCACTGCCGGCGGCGGAGGTGTGTGTGTTGTGTGATAATGGTCTACCCGTAGACGCACTCTGGCAAATGTTATGATCAGGAACTAGACAAGGTTTGTGTGTGCGATATCATTTAAGCGTCGCCCCTACTATGGACATGTGTAGCCATGAATTATATTGGCGTGTGCTATGTGATTTAGGTTTCAGTATCCTTTTATCATCGAAACATATGGTCACAGTACAGCGTATTGCTCCTGGTGTTTGATTTTGAGTGGTTAGAGTGGTGGCGGATTGTGTTCTTTCCTTATCGACGTGTTCAGCCCATGGGAAGTGTGTCCACTTACGGCCAAGCCTTCGCCTCTTTGGGCAGATATCAGTGCTCAGCTCCTATCATATGAAATCATGGCTGCCTACATAGTCACTCACACAAACACACACACACCCAAGTGGATTTGAAAGTTTTCGCAGGCCCATTTCTATGATATCTGATCAAACGCATTGCAAATATCCACACCTGCGCAGAGTACGTCATTTTTGGGGTTGAAACCTAAAACCCTAAATCGCACACACAACATATAAGTTGTTGTCGATATGTTGGCAACATTCTCCCCCTTCTCTCTCTGATATTATTATGAAAAACTCAGGACAGACACTCACACTTGTGCAGTGTTTGTCATCCTATGCTCATCGGCTGACGAGTGGGCCATCGACAGCTAGTTGGTTTGGCTGGGAGCTATATGGCTCCTTGCATACTTTCACATACACACACACACACACACATATATATACACACACACACACATCACCAATGAAGGGTTACTTCAGTATACCCATCTGCTTGTAATATACCCATCTCATACCCAAACACCCGTTTAAACACACACAGGCCAGGCATCCATTCCTGCGCAGAGTATGTCGTCCTATGCACATCTGCTGACGGGCGGGGCTTCGAGTGCAAAGTGTTTAGCTCTGAATCATTCCTTGCCGTGGGCGATGGCTCGGGCGGAGACAAAAGCGCACAGCAATCGCGGGCAACAACGCCAGGTAGGCCTAATTAGAGTTTACGGTGTCCATGGAATCTATTTATAGACATAATAGCGTAGTGGCGGCAAAGCGTTCAAATAGACTTGAAACTGATCCATACTTAGACTACGGCGGTCTATAGCTGACTTCCAGGTCGTTTCTATGGTTGATTGAGCCTCAATTTGCACCTCCTCCCCGATTATTCGTGTCGGATACTCCTGTAGGTACGGGAAGACGAATCCACTTCATCACAGTTTCGATTAGACACGGCTGCCTGGATCCGCTCATACACTCCTGGCTACGAAGGCCTGGTTGATGTAAGGTGTATGTGCGCATGAAGGTGCACATGAACAAGAAAATATTGTTGAAATATCCATGTGCGTACAATAGTTAGTGTGCTAGGATGCATGTGCGTGGGCTCGGATTTACTACTACATCACGCAATGATAAACGGCCCCATTTGCTATTTTTTTTTCTCTCACTAGAAATAGTGACGTCCGTATCAATAATATGCCAGCGCTTTATCACTCATAATTGCCCCTTGGGTTTGCCATGCACTTTATTTTGTACTGAATCACGCACAACTATGCGAATATATATATATATATATATATATATATATATTATATATATATATATATATATACTATATATATATATATATATATTATTATATTATTATTATTATATG